GCGCCCGCGGTCCTCGGGTTGGAGTTCAGGCCTCCGCACCAAAAAGCAGGGCACGGTTTGGGGCTGAGAAGACGGATCTGTTAGGCTGGAGAACTTTCTGTAATGAGTTCAGCATCCAGACATTTTAAAAATGGATGTTTTAAAAGAGGAATGAAATGGGAGGGTTTCAAGTTTTAAAAGCAACGTTCTAGTGGAGAAAGTAATGCTTGGCACATGCTTTTTAAAAAGGTGAAACTAAATATTTCTTTTATACTTAAAAAAAAAAAAGTGTGTCTCTCTCCTACTCCATCTCCCCAATCCCACTCCCCAGGGGTAATTTTTGTTCACATTTCTTGTCTGTTCTTCCAGAATTTTTCCGTGCATAATGCACGTTCATGTGTCTTTTTGCACAAATGGAAGAATAATATACATAAAGTGTGCACTTTTGCTTTTCTTGTTCAACCTTGGAGATAGTTAAATTCAGCAGCACTCGATCTGTCTCAGTCTTCTGAAAATATTTTTAATTTCAAACCTCATGGGAATGAGGTGAGGCAAATACAGATCAAGGTGATGGCAGGGCACACCATGTCAGATGAGGCCTCTCTGACTGAGAAGAGGTGCCCCACCTCACCATGCCTATGCCAGTTGAGGGCAGGCAGTGACAGATTGGTACTGCTCTGATCCCTTCCCTCCAAGACTGCACTGTAGGAAAGGCTGTGGTGTGAAGACCAAGTCCCCACGATACCATAGTTCTTACTAACAGCTACAGTAGTCTCCTGTGATCTTCAGGGGATGCATTCCAAGACCCCCAGCGGATGCCTGAAACTACAGGTGATGCTGAACCCTATATACACTATTTTTTTCCTATACATACATACCTATGAAAAGTTTATAGATTAGGCACAGTGAGAGATTAACAACAATAAAAATGAAGTAGAACAATCCTATATGCCAGCACCACTACTCTTGGACTTTGGCCCACTATGAAGTAAAGTAATGTAAAACAAGTAAATAATTTCTTTCCATTTCTGGGACCCACCTGCTGCTAGGGTTCTGTGTTTAAATTTAGCGCTGGATAAAGCACCGTGATCCCACAACAGTCAATCTGATAACCAAGATGACTCCTAAGTGACCCAAGGGTGGGAATGTCTACAGTATGAATCCACTGGACAAAGGGAGGGTTCACATCCCAGGCAGGACAAAGCTGGACAGTGCAAAATTTCATCTCGTTACTCAGAACAGTGTGCAATTTAAAACTTTTGAATCATTTGCTTCTGGAACTTTCCATTTAATATTTTTGGACCGTACGGTAACTCAAATCTTGAAAAGTGAAACCTTGGATCGGGGGGGCACTCCTATACGTGAGAAACGTCACCCATGGTTCTCCTGCTCTGCCATACATAGCTGTTTTCATTTTTCTCTGATTCTTTCCAGCCCTTGATTTGTGAATATGTATCTTTTGTGGTTGTTTTCTCAGTATTAAGACAATTTTGTCTGCTTTTCTCACTCAGCATTGTTGTAAGCAACAGAGCCATCATAGTTAATGGAGGCATCTAGTTCACACTGCTCGTGTATCAAAGTTACCAGCCATTTCCTAGTGTGCAGTAGTTAGGTTATTTCAAATTATTATTATAAACTATCTGGACTATGTATGCAGCAGTGTGAAGCAGTGAGCCAAATGTACATATAGCAACCTAGATGCTTTGTATTGAAAGAAAAGAATTCAGATGCAGGAAATTATTTTTAGCAGAATACCATATAGGTAGATTTAAGATGCACATAAAACAACACTACATATTTTACAAGGATACATGCATATTTAAAGTTATGAATCAGACACATTAAAAATGGCGTCTTTAAAATGGAGAGGAATGAAACAAGAGATGGACAAGGAACAAGGGAGGGATTGGACAGGGACCAGACCCACATGGGCATCAGTCACTACCTCCCGTGAATTAAGAGTACAATGACCTCTCTGCTCCTTCTTGAAACAATGTCCTTTATTTATTTATTTTTTGGCAATGTAAGTACCTTCCCGAAAGTTGGACTAGTAGTGGTATAGAGACAGACTGTGACTCCCTGTTGGTTCCCAGCTAATGTCCAAGGTACTAAGTTTTGAACACATGGCCCTTGAGATCCGGTCCTCACCGGATGATCTAGCCTCAGTTCCCACCACCTCCCTCTCT